TTTCTTTGATAAATCACCAACAGAATTAGACAAATTTAGTTAAATGTGTGACGTGAAACCTTCGTAGTGGTGATAAATAATACGTCATAAACAGAGCCCGGATGGACATATTGGCTTAAATATCAGACTGTTGTGTCATGAATATTCCCGCCTAGGTCCTGTTCATTATTCCATGACTAATGGTTAACACCACTGCATCTGAAAAGTATGAGAAATACGATGTATGTATGTAGAAGGATAGTGATTTCATTGTAGTAGGATAGCGAGACTAGAACAATTCTACTCTATGTTAAATACAAGGTTCATAATAAAAGACATGTTATATATAATTATTTCCTATTTGTTGTCAACATTACTCCTCCACATACACACAGCCAATCAAGCATTCTTTTTTTACTAACAACGTTACGCATGTTTTCTTACCGGTGAAAACACATCACCCAATACACTGAGTTTAACATGAACACAGTGTGATTTTATTGTAACTAAGGCTAAATCAATGATACAATGTGTACACACGTGTCTCCCAATGTGAACGTGTTAATCGGCTGTCAGCCCATTTTGGACAGATCTGTTTTCTTTCTGCCAACATTGCAAACTATTATCTATTGTATTATCTCTCTCTTTCGATGTTGCAATACTAAGTCGGAAAATGTTTTCTTGTTATTTATTTTACTAAACACGTTTATTTATTTATTCCGTTTTTATTCACACAACTATTTATGAACGCTGATCAACAAGAGTATATACTTTGTGTACATAATTTCCTACCTCATATTCCACGCTCGAATGGGAAAGAAGTAAACACGTAAAGTACAACGTTTAACAGTGTAAACTACCACATCATATTTAGTTTGGAAGGTTTTATTCACCAACCATTATCACTGAACGTGTAGGTGTATCAAGAGAACAATCTAGTATCGACATTTTGAGACGACATTAATGCTTTCGAAATTGAATACTGAATTAATTCATAAACAATGAATTCTGATTAACAAATTGTCAAATATTTGGAGTAAGTAGTATATCCTATCAACTTTGAAGGGTGCAACGAACTTCTGATCAAGCGCAAAACTTTGTTGTCACCCTGAAAGTAAATACACTGTATTTCGACAAAGGATGAAATCTCCTGTGTAATGGCCACCTAGAAACATATCCTGAAGAGATAATTATACGGCATTCCCCTGCCCGATAAAGAAATAGTTATAAGTCATTCCCGTACACGATAAAGAGATAGTTATACGGCATTCCCTTACAGATAAAGAGATAGTTATACGGTATTCCCGTACACGATAAAGAGGTAGTTATACGGTATTCCCGTACACGATAAAGAGGTAGTTATACGGTATTCCCGTACACGATAAAGAGGTAGTTATACGGCATTCCCTTACAAGACAAAAAGATAGTTATACGGTATTCCCGTACACGATAAAAAGGTAGTTATACGGTATTCCCGTACTCGATAAAGTGGTAGTTATACGGTATTCCCGTACACGATAAAAAGGTAGTTATACGGCATTACCGTACACAATAAAGAGGTAGTTATACGGTATTCTCGTACACGATAAAGAGGTAGTTATACGGTATTCCCGTACACGATAAAGAGGTAGTTATACGGTATTCCCGTACACGATAAAGAGGTAGATGTACGGTATTCCCGTACACGATAAAGAGGTAGTTATACGGGCATTCCCGTACACAATAAAGAGGTAGTTATACGGTATTCCTGTACACGATAAAGAGGTAGTTATACGGTATTCCCGTACACGATAAAGAGGTAGTTATACGGTATTCTCGAACACGATAAAGAGGTAGTTATACGGTATTCCCGTACACGATAAATTGGTAGTATACGGTATTCCCGAGCACGATAAAAAGATAGTTATACGGCATTCCCGTACATG